TCTGCACCATGAGTCACCTGGGTGACACTGCAGAGAACCTCGCTTCCTATGGGGAAGAGAAAGAGAGAGAGACAGAGAGAGCAGTGAGTGAGCCTTCGGTTTGACTTACAAGGCATGCTGGGGGAAGAGACTGCATCCAGTCCCAGCTGCACGAAGAGTTATACACCACGCACATTTGTTGCCTACAGATGCAGGTCCTATGTTACATGGATTTGTACATTAAGAGCTGGCATGAAATGACTGTGTTTAAACATTCATGAACAGCAAATATCCCCCAAGAGTGCAGCCACCGGAAGCCTAGCTTGGTCCTTCATGAGAGCCTCGTCCTCCTCTCTTTTGCCACGCTCTCTATATCAAAGCCCAAACAAGCAGGCAGACAAGGAGGTTTCATTGCTTTGAGGATGTGATGGCTGAGTGGCTAGAGCTTAGAAAGGACTGCAGTAGAGTGTGAACTGTTTGGCAAGACCCAGCCCTGTCTGTCTGGGACACTATCTACCCTCTTCCCGACGGCTCCACTGGCCCACCCACAAGGCCAAGGATTGTACTTGCTGTGTGTCCAAACCAAGGGGAGGGAGTCCTTCCCTCACCACAACCAAACAACCTCATTTGTGTATGCTTTTTCTTCTCCCAGATTGCTGTGACACCACGATAATTAGTCATGCTAGACTCTCCAGGTTGACTAATTACAAAGAATTTGACAGGCCCCACTGGAAAGGTTGCATAACCCCGACGTTAAGTTAGGATCCAAGCCATTTGCCAAGCCCACAGCTCACTGTGCCAAAGCGTGGGACAGGACATATTTCCAGCCCTGGCAGCGGGCCTCCCTCTCAGCTGCACCCCTAAATTGGTCACAGTTGAGAGAATGGCATTCACAGAATGGCTGGCAGGGTCACCTCTCGCTGAGACAGTGGGGGATGAGAGCAACATCAGAAGACAGTGCAGCCACTGCTAGATGCAGTCCTGAAAAACAGTGGCTGCAGGGGCTGAGTGCTCTCTGAGAGATGCAGACACAGACAAGACCAAGAGGTTCACAGATCTGCTTCCTACCAGTGTGTATCCATGGACAGAGCAGAAGAAAGCCTAGATACTGTAGACACACTGGCATTAAGTATCTGAAATTCTTCTGCCTCCTGGCACTTCCTCTGCCAAGCCTCCAGAGCTGGGCTGGGCCAGCAAGGAGCAGTCTAAGGGCATGGGCATGTCATGGGCAGAAGCTACTCACATCAGGCTATTTGCTTTCACAAGGCAACTCATTCAGGCCACACACAAAAAAAATTAAGTTACAGTCAATACTAATTTGGTTTCTGTTGAACATTTAGCATGCCATTCACATAGCCACCTTAGCTGAAGTCTACATATTTGAAGACTTTCATAAGAGTTTGCCTCCTAGGAGCCAAAGGCAGGATTAGCACTGTAGATCAGAATCAATTCAGCCCTGAGAAAATAAACCTGTGGAGTATATATCGCCATCCCCGGGCACGCCACAGGCATTAGCAGTAATAGGAGCTCTGCCTGTGCATGGAGAGGAAATATCTGCCATGGAGACAACCCCTCCCTCACTGTGGCCTGCGTGGTCGGCACTGTCACCTTCCCAGAGATGCCTTATCTCCTAACTTCATTCAGATATGCACAGGATGAGCACGCACACGCACACACACAGGTGCACACTTGGTGTTTGTTGTCTTGTGGAAGAAGCAAACAGGAGGGAAAGAGAAAGGGAGGCTGCCTTCCACGAGCAGCTAAGGCACGGCTGACACGGGCATGGGCGACTCGGGGCTCAGAGCACAGACGTGAACGGACTCCATCTGCTCTCCCTGACCGCTCGTGCCAGGCTGCAGCTGCCCAGTTGGTCAGTCTTCTCCAAATTCAGGCCACACTCATGAGGCAAAGGAGGGTTTCCAAGACCTTTGATTAGGCCACTCTGTGGCTAGCAGGATAGCCTTTCAAACAATCAAGCCAGCCCATTGAGAGAGCACTAGATTTGCTCTCCAAAACAGCTCAAAGGTTGCTTTGATGCATATGCGTGTTCTGAGGCATTCTGCTTCTTCATTCTGAGACGGATATGAATGAAACACTAGAGTAGGAGTAGAAGAGTGTGTCCTTCCCCTCCCCTCCCCTGAGTAAATTACCAAGGAGATGGCACTCTCGCCATCTGACACCGTATGCCTGTACAGCGGCTTCCTCTCGGCTGGAAACCCCAGAGGACGCGGCCGGCTTTGACTTAATGACCGTGCATCCCTTTTTGTGTTCCTTCCCAGAGCCTCCGTAGACTGGGTGGAGGAGCAGGGGCTGACCCAGCTCAGCCACTGCCTGACTCAGTATCCTCAGAGAACACAAACCATAGACCTCACTTCTGAGGGTCAGGCCAGGAGACGCCCAAGGCCTTTCTCTAACTGGAGTCTTTCTCATAAAGTGGTCTTTGGCACAAAGTACATAGAAGCAATCCAAAGTCATGCCTATAACCCAAAAAGTCATTTTAAATGGAAGGCAACTTGACAGGGTGAGAGTTTTGTGTCAGCTGTGATGCATCTGCTCCCAAAGACAGAACTGACAAGGATCAGTCTCCAGGATCTAAGCCCCTGATAACAAGTGGCACGGAGCTGGCCAGAGTGCTGAACTCGGCCTCTGTAAGAGCCATCAGACCTTTCTGGCTGCACAGCTCACACAAAGTGCCTGGGCAGCAAAAGTATTCCTAGGGCAGAGGCAGCCAAGACAGGGATCTCAGCAAGCTCCAGACTTACTTACACGGCGGTAGGCATGTAAACAGTGTGTGGAATCTCAGAGTACATTGTATTCGATGGTTCCTGACCTTCTGGAACTATATTTGGATCTGGCAAGTTTGGGAAAAGCTAGGGGCAATGCAGTGCCATTCAAATGAATATTAATAGTACAGAGCCTTGGAGCAAAGTGAAGATTGCTTCAGTTCAGTTTGTGGCATCTGCGAAAGGGAAAGTGGCTTAGCCTTCAAAGGAAGGGCTTGGGTTGTCAAGCCTTCTGACAGCTGGCATCACAAGTCTCAAAAGGGAATAGAATTCTACTTAGTTACAACCGACGTACCTGAGTTTCTCATGTGCCTGACTAATCACCTTCTATCTCACAGTGCCTCCCTTTAATCATTCATGGCACGCAGATTTCCACCTGTCTCTTTCTCTGTTGCTCTGATGTATTAACAATTTGCAGTCTTTCAGTTCATTCAAACCTGGAACACCTGTGCCAGACCTGTACCACAATCAACTCACAGGTGCGCTCATGCTCCGCCCCCAAGAGAAAACAAGTATGTGGCACCTACTGGGAAGTCTGCCCTTATTGTGGGGAGGTGGGCATACTCCCCCTCCCCAAAGAGCCCCTCAACATGCATTGTCTAAGCCAAGGAGACAGTCTGCATAGTTCTTTCCTTTAGCCTGCGGTTCAACTTCCCTATTAACAGAGACACAACACTTGACTGGAGCTGAAGGATAGAAATTTTCTGCTTGATGTGTTTTATGGGCCATTATTATTTCCCCCGCATATCGCATGCCTCTCAGAGGGGCACAGGAGAACATGTCATACAGAGAGGGAGCGGGAGAGATCAACGTGTAAAGGGATCCACCCAGTCTCTCCCTGTGCCCTCCCCAGAGCTCTGGTCTTCTCTGGAAACTTGCCTAGCACCCAGGAGCTTACGGTCACCCTCCCCAGGACGACCGTGCTCCCTGGTCTGAGTCCTCCACACCTCCACAGAGCTGCTACATGTCAGCTTGCTTTCCATGGCTGGGGGTGAGACTGATAGAATTTTTCCCGATCCAGCCTTTCGACTGCTCATTATTTATGGAACGAGGCTGGAAGCAGGACAAGCATTAATTAGCTTAAAGTGTGGGTGAGTCAAACCAATGACTGCCCCATTCTCCCCCTGTCCCAAACAACATCACAATAAGCATGATTTAGCTCTTATTCCCATCAGGTGGGAGAGATCAGAATTGCATGTTTGCACATCCAAAACTATTCACAGCAATAGAGAAAAATGAATAAAGCCAATGCAAGCTCCCCACAAGGGGCAAATCCAAAGGCCAGGGAGGCTGCCTCCAAGGCCACAAGGGAGATGGTCAATCCCATCCTCTGATGATAAGAGCATGCATCCAAATGCCCATTCCAGATAGCAGGTGGCCACAGGCAAGAAAGTCCTTCCATGGAGAGCTGGAGGCAACGAACGTCTTGGCCGTCTGGGTTCCTGGCAGCAGCAGACCATGTGCACCTGGTGGGACATTCCTGAGGTGGCTTGAGATGAGTCCCCAGAATGCCTGGGCTCATCTTTAGAACTAAGTGCTCCTTACCCCTGATGTGGACCTGTTCTAGTGCCCTAGGTATGGCAAAAGCAGGCACCAAAGCAACCCAACTCCCCGAAAGGAAGCACTAGCAAAGAAGTCTTCCCAGTATTATTCCCAACACCACCACAAGCAGCCACTTTCCAGATAGAGCTGCAAAGTAGTAGCTGGAACAAAGCCCCCATGCCCAGTGGGTGGAGAGATGAAGGTGGTGACCCTGACTAAATGCAAGCAGAACTGACTCCCATCACCCGAGCTCTGCGTTTGGCTGGTGTTGCGTCGGCCACTTGCAGAACCACTTCTTCTCACAAGCCCCAGGTCTGCTAATAAGCCATTGACCTTGAGTTTGAGTCTGGGCTTGATTTGCTGCTCTGTCGAGGGGCAGGGGAACCCCAGGGGCCTTTGTGGCTTAACAGGAAGAAATCCTCCTCGTTTTTAGCAGTAATCGTTTTTCTTCTACTCCTGCCACTGTGATCAAATTAGCAGGCTGCTTCTCCTCCGAGAAAATGTAGCCTTGGTCCCACGAGGCACTGTCCATTTGCCTGTCTGATGGGCTCGGGGAGGGAAAGCTGGGATCAATGTGAACGTGTGTGCCTGCCTTCCCCAGGCCCTCTCCCCCATCCCGGGAGGGTGTCTCTTCCCACCTGGGATGGCCACCCAGCCAGCAGAAAGGATCACAGGAAAGGGGTGGGGCCTGGATGCTCAGCTGCAGGCCTGGCAGGTGGCTGCATACACGCTGGTGCTGCCCACGGTGGCCCTGCTGCTCATGCTGCCATGGCAGGTGGCTGCATACACGCTGCTGCTGCCCAGGGCGGCCCCGCTGCTCATGCTGCTGGTGGGGCACTGGAGAGGCTTCATGCTGCTGTCCCTCTGGATGTGCAAGTGCTCCAGCCGCCAGCGCTCCCAGCTCTTCCGAAACTCCATCCGGACCTTCCGTGGGAAAAGGAGGGAAACAAAAGCCATCTACGAACCAAGTGCCCACAAAATGGCCCCATTATTACATTAGTGGGGAAGGGAAAAAATCCACTGCCTTATATTAAGAGACACAAGTCAAGGCCTTCAGGCGCCTAAATTAATATCACAATAAAATTGTTTATTGTTGTCTCCTCTTCTCTCAGGGCTTGATGACCTAATTGGTCTTTTCCATCTCTAGACTCTGGGATTCGGCTGAAGTACACGAGCAAGGGAGAAACACAGGCAGCTAGGGAGATAACTGGAGAGGAGAGAACCTTATTCCAGAATGCTGTGTCCTGACTTCAGCCTGGCCCATGGAGAAGGGGCCAGCACACCCGTGGGCCTCACCTTCGGAGCTCCCAGAGAGCTTGGACTCAGGCCCCAGTAGCTAGCTCCCAGGAAGGGAAATGAAGGGCAGAGGCAGGGGAGAGGAAGTGGAGAGAAGGGTAGAGGAGGGAAGGGGAGGAAAGGGGAGGGGAGGGAAGGGGGGAGAGGGAGGGAATAAGAGGAGGGGAAAGGCAGCTGGGGCAAGCAGCAGCAGTGATAGGGTTTGTGGATGAGGGCATTACCCAGGGAGACTGAGACCATGGCAGGCCCTGCCCAGGTGACCTCAACCCCTGTTGTGTTGGGCTCCAGGCTGTAAGCTGAACTTCTCTTTCCACAAGAAGCTCCTCTGGGGTGTTAATGAAAGCAACAAGATGCAGACGACCCCACACTGCCTCTGAATGTGTCTTTGCTGGGGTCTGGGGTCCAGCTCCTCCTCTTGCATCCAAAGCACCAGGAATACCAGCTGCCAGCAGCCACGGGACGGGGGCCCTCTGCCAATCCCCCCAGCAGCCCCTATGCAAACAATTGTCCTCTCATTCCCCTTCACCATCCATCTCACTAAGCCCAACAAGATGCCTGGCATGGTGGCCGCATGCCATCCCTTAAAAGAACTTTTTTTCTGCACTGAGTTGAGCTGAGATGGCCCAGAGCCTGTCTGCCAGGACGGCCCCCAAGTCCCAGGCAGCATCCCAGGGTCCATGCTTGGCTGGGGGGAGGGAAGGAGGCCTGGTGCACACACCACCCTCAGCTGCTCTGGGCCAGTTCCCAGCCTGGCCAACGTGTGCCCATGGCTGGGGTACGGACTCTCCAGACCCGTGGTGGCCTCCTTGGGTATAGCTGTGGGGTGACGAGGGGCTGCTCCTGTCTCACCATCCTTCCATTTGGTTGGGTTGGGGGGTGTGGAAAGGTAGTAAACTGAGGCACACTTGTGGGAAGCCACGGCCAAGATGGGACTCAGAGCCCACAGGGACTGCTGGCCTGCTCAGAGTGCTGTGATGTGGTGTCCCCTTCTGCCTCAGCTCCCACAGCATCTCTGTGGTGGCCCTAGTCACCTCACTGTCCTTAAAAACTGCCTATTGCATACTTGGTTCATGCCCAGAATACTTTCGAGATTATCCTGGTGAATGCTCACGTCAGCCCTGGGCAGGAGCTACTGGGATTATTCTACCACGGAGCAAGCAGGGGCAGAGGATGGAAAGATTTCCCCTAGACCGCCCTGGTCAGGATTTGAGCTCACATCCAGCCTGACTTCAAGGCTTGGCTCCTAACTAGTAACCTCCTGCCTGCAGTGGCTATGTCCCCTACCCACTCAGGACCACATCTTCCTAGTGGCAGCATCCCTGTACCTGTCACAATGTCCAGCATATAGCAGGTGCTCAACATGTTAGCCAAAAGAATGGACAAGCGTGTAAATGCGCATTTCACAAGAGTTCACTTCTGTCACTCACTTGTGAGAATGAGACAACGAGGACAGCAGCATGGACCCTGGACACCTGGCCAGCAGGGCAGTGCACTTCCTCCTGTGTGGTCCCATCTCACCCCTTGGCTGCCTTCCAGCTCTGCAGCCCAGCAGACACTCCCTAAGTGCCCTCTCTGGCAGGGCAGCATTGCTGCTTTCAGATCCTGCTCAGGCATTTTTACCTCCATTAGCCCTCAGGAAACAGGCACAAGGGATCTGCCCAGGTCGTACAGCTAGGTAGTGGCAGAACCTGGACCACCACTTGGGCTCCTGAGTCCTTCACTGTGGCTCTCAGACAGGAGCTATAGGGAAGCTGTCCACAGGCCTCCCCACCCCCGGCTCCATTCCCCACCCACCAGCAGCTGAGGCAAGCCTTGGTAGCACCAGGGTTGTATGTGGTTACAACATGGCTTGGGTGACACAGCAGGGAGGAATGAGAAATAGGGACAAGGTGGCAGGGAGGAGCTCTGGTCTCTCCTCACAGTCCCTTGTTTTTGCCCCATGGAGGGATCTGTGTTGCCCTGTCCCCATAACCGTCCCCATCTCTCTGTGGGGCTGAACCTTGCGGCTGCACAGCTCGAGGTCACCACACTGACTGACAGTGACATCTCCGAGGGAGGCGCCAGCACATGCATGTGCAAGAGGAGGATGAGCAGGCACCAATGATGGGGTCTGGCTCAGAGCAGCGAGCTGACGCTGAAGCCCACATCCCCTCCCCCTTCTGCTGATCACATGGCTTCTCTGAGCAGCTCACAGCTCCCTGCCACACAGAGGCCATGCTCCCTGTCCGCTCTGCATCCTCACACCCATAGCAAAGGCAATGACCTGAGGATGTCTTGGTTCTGAGAACCCACACTTAGTGACCAGGAGCTACTTAGAGAGCTTAGGCCTTTGAGGCTCCTTGGGTTCCTTGACATTTGTGACATCCACTTTGATGGCTTGCATGGAGGTCCACCTGTTCTGCTCCAGCACAAAGCTGGGCACCACGGAGGAGTGGGAATCTTTCCCTGGTTCCCAAAGATACCCCTTCCTCCCAAGAGATTGTCCCCCTAACCCCTGGAAAGGGGAAAGCTGCTGATCCTATAAGGTATGCCCACCCCTGTGTATGTGTGTATGAGAGAGAGAGAGAGAGAGAGGACAGAGATAATGCCCAGGAAACAGTAACGGGCAAATTGCCTCAACTCTACTGCTCCATGGGGTGAGTGGAGCTTTAACTGAAAGAGCTGATAGGGAGTCCCTGTGGCCCAACTTCCAATCAGCTGAACGCAGTGACTTACAGGGTCCCCACGGTCTGCACTCCCGCCTTACCTCATTATTGATGAAGCAGTACAAGATGGCCACCATCAGCCCCTGAAAACAAGGCCACATCACCGAGGGGGTCCTGGTCAGACAGCCTTGTGGCTCCAGCTCCAGCCTGGCCCTCCTCTAACAGGACAGTCCAAGAACAGCCAAGGGCAGGGCAGTGGGACTCATCCCTCCTCCTTTCTGGAGGACCAGAAGGTTCGTTGTGCAGACACCAGCCTGGAGTGGAGACTCTCCCTAGTCCAGCCCAGTTTTCTCAGTGTGGCCCCTAAGCCTACGGGCATCCCATAACACTCTCATGTGGCAGGGGCCATGCCCTCTAATGCCAGTGGCAAGCAGCCATTCTTTGCATTGGAACTATGTTACCCTACAATTCTCGTCTCCACATCTCTGGGCCTCAGTTCCCTCCCCCGTCAAATGGGTGTGATCAAGTGTGCCTCCACAACATTGGGAGGATGAAATGCAGTGTGTGTATTAAGCTCCACACAAGGTGCCCTCCACCCAGTGAATGGCACCTGCAGTGCCAGGCGGGATGCCCACAGGCACATCTGGGGTGGCTTCTTGTCCCGTGACACTGACCTGAGGGGGGTCAGGATCCCTGGGATACTAGGTCTGGCTCTGCTCCAATTATGGACGTTTCTTTGGGTGGCTGAGTGTTCCCCTTCCTGTCCACCTTCCCCATGAGTGCCCCCTCACCCCCTACCATGAGATCACCTGGAAGGAGGTGAAGGAGAGCTCTGTAAACAGCTTGATGAAGCGCAGGGTGCCCCGGGCATGCTCGTCCATCACGAAGGCAAAGATGACCTCATGGGTGCCCAGGAGGGGGATGAGCGTCAGTGTGGACTTGGCAAGTCTGGGGTTGTGGGGGGAGGGGCAGAACAAATGCTTAGTATCATTGCAGACCTCGCCCAAGGATCTACCTCACCTTGCTGAGCCCTCCCTGATGCCCAGCAGGACCTGGATCTGAGTCCTGGACACCCCAAATACACTGAGACAGGCCATGTAGTAGGAAGACGTAGAGGTCAAGATCATGCAAAACCAAGGGACTTCCCATGGATGGCACAAGCAATGCCTGGGACACTTAATCTGACGAGGGTGAGAGAAGAGGGTCAGGGTGGCTCCACACTAAGCATTGTGGGATCTCTGCCTCAGCCAGAAGGCCAAGTTCAGGGCTCCCAATGAAGCCAAGTCGGCTACTGTACCTGCATTTAATGTCTGTCTTGCACATGAGATTGGCCTTCAGTTTGGATACCACGATGCAAATGACACGGATAAAAATGAGAAAATTCACCTGTAGGGCAGAGTGGGTGGCTAGGTGGCTGGGGGCCCTCTCTCTCTCCCCAGTCCTTCCCCTGGTGTCCCCACCAAGGTTGTGACACCCACCCTCCTCCTGGGTCACTCACTCCAATAGCAAAGAGGATGGGTAGCCGGATGATGAGCCAGTAGTTCATGTTTGAGTTCCTGGTCCAGCACCTGGAGAGGGAGAGAAAGGCACATATGCATCCAGATGCAACTTGAAGATTCCAGCTCACAGTGCAGACCGAGTTGGCCATGCAGCATGCTATGCATGTGCAACCACTGGGAGTTGCCTGCACCAAGTCTGGCCCTATGAGCACACACCCACACGCACACACACCCAAGCAGACACAGTCTCCAACAAATGTTCCCAAGCCACACACATGGTCACATGAGCACTCAGCACTTTGCTAAACACAAGGCCAGAGGTTTACACTCAGATTTTACAAGAGAGTCTGCAGGAGGCCCCACAGACCCCATACACCCAGAACCACTTGTCTACATCCAAGCTGGGCAAGGGCAGGAGGTGGGGAATCAGAGAACTAAATCCAGGCATCAAGCCCCTGGTCCCCTCAAAAGGGTCATCGTCACCGCAGGTAGGGGTGCGAGGCATATGCTTAAGATCAAGGCATCCACTGGCATTAGAGAATGGCCACCTCCCTTGGCCCATCCCCTTAGAGCAGGACACTCACCCCTCGTCCTCATAGAGGTACTTGACAACACCCCAGGGGATGACAAACAGCAGGGGAAAACCTGGGAGAAAGAACAAGAGAAGAGGGGAGAAGGGCTGGCCAGCCAGAGCCAGGACGATGCACCTTGAGCCCCTCCTTGGTCTGGCTCCACATCTGGCCCTCTACAGTAGGACTCTGAGTTCTTCCTTCCAGCCCCTTCCAGGTGGGAACCAGGCACACTGCCAGGACCCAGCTGAGACCTGGCTGAGGCAGCAGGACACATACACCCAAGTAGCAAGGAGATGGGGCAATGCAACAGTGAGAACACATTGGAGGACTCTGCTGCCCTGCTCTGCCCTGGCTTTGGCCCCATTTCAGTCTAGTCCCACAGGCACTGGAACCTCTTCAGCTCCCTCCCTCATGCACAGGGCCAGGGCAGAAGCCCAGAACAGAGACAGGGGCTCAGCCAAGTGGCCACAGCCACAACAGCTATAACGCTTCCCAAGAGATGAGACAAGATAGGCGTGACCTCCACCTCTTGCTGCTCACATCCTTGTGGACCAAGAACATGTGGCAGGAGTAACAGCATTGTCACTTCTGAGATCAGGCTCTAAAAGACCCCATGGCTTGTCTTGAGCTCTCTCTGATGCCCTGATCTGCAAGGAACCAGTTGTCAAGTGATGAGGCTCTGCAGAGGCTCCTCCAGGCAACCTGTGCAAAGACCAAGGGGTTTCTGCCAGCAGCCTCAAGCATGAGCTCGGAAGCAGGTGCTCCATCCCCAGGGCAGCCTTGAGACAGCAACCACCCTGGCAGACAGCCTGGCTGCATCTCAGCTAGAGAGCTGGAGCCATGGCTACTCAGACGGCTAGGTCTGTAGGATCTGTGAGACAAGTACTGCTTTGCTGCTTGCAGAGGCTAAGTTTCAGACTCCTCTGCTAGGCAGTGAGAGAGATGACTCACACAGCTGGAGGTCAAAGGCCCCACTCATCCTGACAGCTCAGTCTCGGTTGATTTAAAATGGGATTCTTAGGTTGAGTGTCCCATGTGTGCCACTGGGGCCAGCATTGTGGCACAACAGGCTAAGCTACTGACTGACATAAGAGTACCTGTTTGGATCCTGGCTGCTCCGCTTCCCATCCAGCTCCCTGCTAATACACCTGGGAGAGCAGCAGAGTATGTCCCAAATGCCTGGGTCCCTGCATCCATGTGGGAGGCCTAGAAGACACTCCTGGCTCCTGGTTTTGGACCTGCCCAGTCCTAGCTGTTGCAGCTATGAACCCACAGACTCTGCCACTCAGATGAATGGTGGAAAAAAAAAAAAAAGGTTGGGTTGTCCATGCTCACATGACAGCTCAGGCACTGATAGCTGTCACAGTTGGGACTGGCATCCAGAACTGCACTCCCCAAACCCACCCTAGTCTCCCTCAGTGACTTCCTGTACCCACCCCTTCCCTGTTGTGTCTGTTGGCACCTCTCCTAAGTTGGAGATGTGGGTGTTTGAGGTAGGCAAGGGTGTGAGTTTTCAAGGGTGTGTGTGGTTGTGGGTCCCTGGGTGTGCATGCATGGCTTTGGGGCAGATGAGGTGGGTTCAGGGCAGAGGCGCTTCACAACCTGTTTGGAGGCCCCACCCATTATTTAAGATGCTTGGGGAGAACAGGGTGAATGAATGAGCTCAGAGTGAGCCAGTCTCTCAAAGAAGAAAGGAAAGCTGGCTAGGTAAGAACATGCCAGTTCCGCGGGCCACATGGGGCAGCAGAATCTTCTTTCTCAGGCATGCCCAGCCACCAGCTGGCCTTTCCTGCATGTCATCAGCCAGACCCAGTGGGCTTCAGGCGTCCATCAGCATCTCCTTAACAAGGCTTTTTAAAAAACACAGGCACAGCCCTGCTGCGTGCAAACACTGCCTGCTCCCTGCTGGCTTCATCTTTCTCCCATTTAAAAAGCCAGCAAGACAGGCTGGAGAAATCAAAGCACGAATTAAGACTCACAGACCTGGCTCGTTCCTCCCAGCCCTCCCCTCCTAGCCAGCCTGCTTGTGGTGCTGCTCATAGCCTGCAGCAGAAGTTGGCATGACTTTTGGGTGGGAGCAGGGGGATGTCCTCTGCTCTCTCAGAGTCGTATTTTTATCTCTTCTGCTGGCACACGAGGTCACAAGTTTCCCAAGCATCTCAACTGGGGCCAGGTCTCCTGGTCTCACATAAGAAACCTGTGGATCTTCCTGTCTCTCCTTCTTTCTCCCTCCATCTTTGTCCCTCTGTCTTCCCACCCCAAGGATGTCCCACGGGTGTATGAAAGGGTGTCCTGTGGGCCCTGCCCTTGTGCCCTCGTGGACCCCAAGCCCTGAGCTGGGAGTGGTATAGCAGAAAAGGTCTAGCACCCCTCTACCTCCCACTCAACAATCTCCCAGTTCACCCCATGTCCCTCAACCAATCCTCCCCACTCCTCTGCATTCTATCCCTCAATTGCGCCTGCCCTCAGGTCACCATGGTGACAGATACACCCAACGTGGATGCTATTTCCCAGAAATGGCAGATGGGTCCTCCACTCTGAGGACAGCTTTCCTGATTGCTCCCTACCCAGCTCCCCATCGCCGCTTTCTCCCTCACCCAAAGAGACTGTGGGGCTGACCAACTGCCTGTGCAAAGGGACCAGGGGGAAGTAGATGGGAGGAGAGGCTCAACAGGGTGGCACTGAACCCTGGACAATGGTGGAGGCAGGGAGGAACTGGGCTCTGCACACAAAGGGCAAGCCCTCCCCGACAACCTGGTGCAGAGTGCAGTATAGGCCGGTGGGGGGTGCGGGCAGGACCCCAAATACCTAGGAGTCAGGAGGCCCCAGGAGGGGGTAAGGTCCATGAAGCAGGAGTGGGGCTGTGACAGAGCTAGCTAGGAGGCACCTAGAGGTTGCCACCCTGAAACCTGCTGCTTAGGGGGAGGGGAGCTTATGTGGCAAGCTGGGGCTGTGGTGTGCAGCAGCGCAAACAGCAGACTCACCAGTCCTCTGGCCCCATGGCAGGTGGGAGCTCACCGACCCTTCCAGAAAGGACTTCCCACGTGCTTTCCTGGTAGTGCAGGGTCCCAGCTTCCTGCCCAACCCAAATCCTTTGCCTCCTGAGAACCCCATGTGGCGAGAGACAGAAGCACAACCAGAAATGTTCCAGCAAAAAAAAAGACATGATGGTTCCTGGCAAACTTTTTTGGCTAGAACATTTCCAGCTGGGCTCCAGGCAGATCCGTGGCACAGCCCTGTCCCTGGCTGGTACCGCTCACCCCCGCCCTTCCCTCCACTGGCACCCTGGCCCTAGCTCTCCACTGAACCTCCTCCTTCATCATCAGCCCCAACCCTGCCCACACCTCCCCAACCTCGGGGTCCCAGGACTTAGCGTTTCCCTGAAGAACCAGGTGTAGGACTCAGTCCCCATAGTCAGGGCTCTCAGTGGGGGCTGGTTGGGGGAGGAAAGGAGGTGGGATTTGGCCAGTGAGGGGAGGCATTTCCCTTTAGGGAGGAGAGTTCAGCAAAGGAGGTAGAGCAGGGGTTAACATCCCCTGCAGTGTTCCGGGCAGGGTGGGGTCTCCTATGTGCAGGGTGGGTAGGGGGTGGGAGGTAGATGACCATGGCCTCACCCCAGCCGATGCTTAGGTACAGCCTGAAGACACGCTGCTCGGAGAACACGGAGAAGACCAGCAGGGTGTATAGGTACACACCCTCCACCAGCAGCCAGTAGTAATTGGCCGCCACACAGTACTGCATGAGCAGGAATACGAGGCGGCAGCTCAGGGAGTCCTGGAGCAGAGGGAGGGTGGGCTCAATGAGGGGAGAAAATGCAGCAGCTCTGCCCCTGTCCCCCCTCCACATCCTGCCCCAGCCACAACCGTGGAGGCTGAGGGGCTCCACCAGCTCAGGCCAGCTCTAAGTGCTAGCAACACGCCCTCTGCTCAGGCTCACCCAACCCTCCCTTCCCCATGCTCATGGCAAACAGCTTCAGAGAGGTAACTTGCCCGCTGGGATTCAAGGCCAGCTCCACCTTCAAGAGCTACTTTCTCTTGGGTCACATGGAGAACTCCCTAGGGCAAGCGCCTCCTCCCTCGGACTAGCATCTCCCAGGTAGGTGGCCTCTTCCAGCAGACTAGGAGATCCCTGAGGAGCCAGGGCTGGGCAGCTCCTGCTTTTCCATGTCCAACTGTGGGTCAGGGCAATTGTTCTCTGGCCCCTCCAGCCCACACCACTCACCTGGTAGGAGAGCAGCCCATCCCACTGGTGCCGTTGGGCGGCTGTGCTGTACATCCACTTGAGGGCTGCATCCTTGATGAACACAGACAACGCTCGAAGGATGAAGGACGCAAACAGGTTTAGGTGGATGTAGTTCCGGGTGCAGTGCAGGTGTCTGCGGGGAGAAAACAGAGGCTTTTCTTGGTTGGACTGCCAACACACACACACACACACACACACACACACACACACCAGGCACACACTGGGACTGCACCACTTGCATCTCCCCTCCTCTGCCCTGCTGCCTCAGAGCTTTGCACATCCTTGCAGGCCAGCCCTAGTCCCACCCCTCCCTGAAGCCCCTCAGCTGTGGGGTCACAGCATCTCCTCTCACTCTTCCCTCTACAATGTCTTCTTTTCCACCAAGTCGGGGGTAACTCAAGAGGCTTGTGGGGGGAGGATCATGTGACTTTGCTTCTTGATGACAGAGCCCATGCTGGTTTAGACATTCCTGGGGGAAGTAGACCAAGCTGGGTATTCAGAAAGTGCTGTATACATTCATAATATCCAAATGCCTACCCAGCTGAAAACACAAGGCCATTTCTCCACCTGGTGAGGGCTGGCTAACCTGCTGGTAGCAAGTGAGAAACTCCAGAAGCATTGCCTTTGCAATCTGAAACAAAGCATGGATGTCTGCTCTCCTCACTTCCACTCACTACTGGTCAACACAGCTCACCATGATAGTAAGGCGAGTGACCAAAGGCATAGGAATTGGAAGCAAGATGGCCATTCCTATAGATGACAGATGAGCTCATGTGAGGGCTATACCATTGTAGTAATACAGGGAAAATCAGAGCCTATGTGGAATTATAGCCTAAAAAATAAAATAACAAATCTAAAAGAATCTATAGATAAATGATTAGAATCAGTCAGAAGATTAGGGAGGGTTGTCAGGGTGTATGTATGCTCATATACCTTGGCACTGAAGACTCAATTTAAAAAAATAATTCATTGACAATATTTTTAACTGACTACCAAGATGTTTGAGCCAAGGTTCTTATTTTTTTTTTTTTAAGATTTGTTTTTATTGGAAAGTCAGATATATGGAGAAGAGAGACAGACAGGAAGATCTTCCATCTGCTGATTCACTCTCCAACTGGCCGCAAAGGCCGGAGCTATGCTGATCCAAAGCCGGGAGCCAGCAGCCTCTTCCGGGTCTCCCACATGGATGCGAGGTCCCAAAGCTATGGGCCGTCCTCGAATGCTTTCCCAGGTCACAAGCAGGAAGCTGGATGGGAAGTGGAGCTCCCAGGATTAGAACCAGTGCCCATAAGGCATCCTGGAGCATGTAAGGTGAGGATTTTAGCCACTAGGCTACTGCACTGGTCCCAAACCAAGATTTCTTAAATAGGACCGAAAAGATGCTTGGACTTTGGGGGGAAATTTTTTGATTTATTTATTTTGAAAGTCAAATTTACCAGACAGAGAGAAAGACAGAGAAGCCTTCCACCTGTTGGTTCACAGTGATGATCACAATGGCCAGAGCTGGGCTGGAAAGAAGCAAGGAACCAGGAACTTCATCCAGCTTTCCCCATCTCTCTTTCATGGCTGGCAGTGTTCCCAAACACTTGGGCCATCTTCTGCTGCTTTCCCAGGCCATTAGCCAGGAGCTGGATAGGAAATGGAGCATTCCGGACATCAACTGGAGCTCATATGGAATGCCAGCGTCCCAGGTGGCAGCTTAACCCACAACACCATAACATTGGTCCCCAGAAAACTTTAATAGACTTTTCTACCCAATTGATAAAACTGAATTCCTACTAACTGACAGCACTTATAAGCTTGATTTCTTGGTAAAAATGGACAAACTGATCAAAACATCAGAGTAAGTGAAAAAAAAAGAGACTAATAAAAGATTTATTCAGGCTTGTATGAATAATGAATGCTTGAAAGAAAAAACAAAAAGCTAAATAAATCAATAAAAATAAGCACATGATATGAATAATCAACTCAGAGCAAACCATGCAGAAATGCTTGATCTCTCTAGGAATCTGATATATGCAAATTAAACTCCCAGGGAGAGAGCCGTTCACACATTTCAGATTAGCAACAATTAAGTCTGAAAACACTGCACCCTGGTGGGAACACCAGGCCAAGGGAGCACTCTGCCACTACCTGGGAGAGGGCAAATTGGTCTGATGGCTTTTGAAAACATCTCAGCAGCGCCTCGGACATGGGCAACAGCAGGTGGAATTCAGATTGCGCAACTCTAAGTTTAGCCACAGATGCCAAAGCAGGCTCTCCGGGTAAGAATGTTCACTGTAGCAAACTGTGTGATTCAGAAAGGAAAAAACCAGAAAATAACCACAAATGTCCCTTCAGAAGAGAACAGATAAACAGACTACGTTATAACAATGGAATGTGGAATAGTAAGTTGAAATAGAATTACTTGTATCTACATGAATGAGTCTCACACAAAAAATTGGACTTCCCCCAAACTGTGGAATATTCTCAACATGTTATTAAAAATACACTGCAAGGCCAGGTGTGGTAGCCTAGTGGCTAAATCCTTGTCTTGCATGCACCGGGATTCCATATGGACGCCAGTTTGTGTCCCAGCTGTTCTACTTCCCATCCAGTTCCCTGCTTGTGGCCTGGGAAAGCAGCAGAGGATGGCCCAAAACCTTGGGACCCTGCACCTGCATGGGAGACCCATAAGCTCCTGGTTCCTGGCTTTGGATCGGCTCAGCTCCTGCTGTTGTGGCCACTTGGGGAGTGAACCAGCAGGTGGGAGATCTTTGTCTTTCCTTCTCTCTATAAATCTGATTTTCCAATAAAAATCAATAAATTGAGAGAAAGAGAGAGACTATTCACCCTGTGCCTGCATTTATTGGACACTAACTGTGCCCAGCACTGAGTCAGCTGCTGCAAGGTCAGGAAGAGGAATTTCACCTCGGAATTCTGTCCTTGATCCCAGCTTTCCAGTACACCCCAGGTGGGATGGGAAGGAGGTGGGACTCTACACTGCAGCTGCTGGTTTGGAAACAATCTTTTGTCCAAATTAGACCTCAAGAAGAATGTTTCCACCCCAAGGGAGAGCAGAATCTCAAATCCTGGAAACTTTTTCTAGACCACAATGAAGAATTTAAGTGACACCATAAAACCCTCCCCTCCACCCGTAAGGCTTAAGTGTGTGTGCATAGGCTGGTGGTTGCTTTCAGTATACACGGGTGATTCAACAAGTTCATGCAAAAATGGAATTAAAAGATAAGCTTATTTTGGTTCCCCAACTTTGAAATCCACACATAATGTTCCATTCTGTGCTTTCTTTATGAACCTGCATGTTTGTTTCTCTCACTCTCTCTCTCTGGCACCATCATAAATATACCCTTTACTTGCATTTTCACTGCTTTTGGGATACTGTGTAGATGCATTCACTTCCACAGTGAGATGAGACTAAGCCCTCAGTTCTGTTTCCTGTACCTTCATCCCCGGGCTCCCTGCAAAGGGCTCTCTGCTGCATTCAGTACGGGGGTCCCCTCTGGTGTGTGGGGGAGAACGGACAAAGCAGCCCCTATTGGGGTCTAGGGCCCCCTACCTGAAGCCAAGGAGGATGGCTGAGGCGATGACCAGAGCCGAGAAGGACAGCGCGTAGCCCACCGTGTAGATGATGTAAAGGGACAGCAGCTGCTCCTCCTGGGGGCTCTGTGGGCACAAGGGGGCACCGGGTGCTTGGGGGCGGGCACCGTGTGCTTGGGGGGCGGGCACCGGGTGCTTGGGGGGCTGCCACCGCCGTTTTCTCTCTCCCACATCCTCCATTCCCCAGGCGAGCCCCAAGTCAGGCACCATGGGGATCCCAGAGTCAAGGGTGAAGGCAACCTCTGGATTTCTACTGTCCCAGGCCATGGAGTGGGACACACACGTACACACCCTGCACCCAGACAGCGTGGTCTGCAGAGCCCCTCCCCCAGAGCCAGGGACAGGAAGGGGTAACCAACCACACTTGCAGCCCCTGAAGCCGAGGCCCCGAGGCCCACTCCTTTGGAGCGCTCAGAGTCCCCCTCCCACTCACTTTCTCACCACGCCTGGATTCCTCACACTCCGACAGGTCCCTCCAGGGAAGGCTGGAGTTGTCCTTGTGCAGCCAGTGGCCTTCCGCAGTGCAGAAGCGGTACACGTGGCCCTGCAGCACTGGGGCGGGGTGGGGGAACAGGGAGCTGAGACTCTGCCTGGGGCAGAGAGGGGCTAGCCAGCCACCTGCTCTCCATCATGAGCGCCGCCCCCCAGTCTGAGCTTACTTCATCCCCTTTGAGTCCCTGTCTGTGCCCTGGGGTCTCCCCCTATATACCCCCTCTGGCCCTATGCCTCCTGACAGTGTCGGGGAGGAGACAGAAGCACCAATGTGAGAGGGGTCAGCCAGTCTGGGTCACCATGGGCAGCAGCTACAGGAATCCTCAGCTTGGAAAAGAGTCAAATTGTGTGTCCTTGTCTGCAGCCTCAAACCACACCACTGACAAGGGCGGGTGCTGACCGACAGTGGCCTAACAGTCTCATGGTCATCCATGGCTAGGGCTCAGTGCCCAGCCCCCTCCCATACTCCTTGGGGACAGCAGACTCTGGGAACCAAGCTGGCACCGGACTTCTAACCCAAAGAAAGAGAGCCCTGGTCTGATGGGGAAGACACAGCCCCGTCCTCAGGGAACCTCAGCCTGACAGGGTGGGCACAGCCCTGAGGAAGTCCCACTCTAACCCCAAAGCCCACATGATCTAAAAGGAACACAGTCCCAGGCATAGACATGGCCTTTACCCTTGGGGTCCTCCATTCAACACTGCCTCAAGCAATCTGTGATCATATTTCGGAGATGGCAACCATCCTTGGAGACCAGCCAGTAGGGTCTACATACAGGGTGAGATGCAGCCCCTGTTACCAGGGAGCTCCCTGTCTGAGGCAGGAGGCACAGTCCGGGGCTTCAGGGTATCAAGACTCACATAAAGAAATGAAAAGGAAGATGGAACAGCTTGGAGGCAGGGTGGGGGTAAGCAGCCCAGGATCCCCACAGAGCTGGAGGGCAGTACCTGGGCTCTGCGTGCACCAGGATCCCCTGCTATACCTCAGGGTCCACCTGTAGGCCAGAAGGTAGGCTTGTCCCCATCATTCATTACCTGATTGCAAGACAACTTCGGACTGACACCAGGCCCAGGGAACAGGGCATCTAGGGATATGGGAAGGAGGCTGGAGCAGGGAAGGGGTTTTACTGATTTGGAAAGAGGAAGCGGTGGAGTGAGGAGTTGCCCCAAGCCCTGGGCCAGTAGCTGCTCTGCGTCAGCCAGCAGACAAATCCCTTTGGGAAACAGTTCTGCTGGAAGAGGCACCTTGCTTGGGAGTGATGGGGAGCCACCCAGCTGGTACCCAGCTCTGCTTCCCAAACCCCAAAGCTGTGAGCCCCTCCCTATGTGGTCCAGAGTAGCCCTCTCCCAGTGGTGGTGGGACCAGTGGGCCTGGCGATGGGACCTTGTCCTTCCCTCACCATGACCCCCTCCTCTCCCTCTCCCTCTGTCTTGCTACTCTGACCATGAACAAGCCCTCTACCAGGGGGCTTCTCAGGACTCCCAGACTCTCTGGCTACCTGGAGGGCAGCAGCTGAGCATGGCAAGACTTCAGGTGGAGCAGGTACCAAAACCTGGATTGTAAGGGCAGAGTCTGGATCAGCAGCATCTGGATCTGGCATCTCCCTCGCTAACACGTGGTGAGCACTACCTGCCCAGACCCACAGATGCCTCTCTTATCTGCTGCAGGGAAACCTGAAATTCTTCCCCAGGAGTCTCTAAATATCCCCACGCCAGGAAATGTCAGTGCTGGTGGCCAGAGAGCAAGGCTGACACCCTGGGGTGAGCGCCTACTTTGGCATTCCTGTTTGCTGGGAGAGGAGGAGGAAGCCAAGGGGCCAGGGACATAGCAATGCTGCAGTGTAACCACGCAACCTCCCTCCTCCAGGGCTACGTGACACCAAGAGACCACATTGCCCCAAATTGGTGCAAGGCTGGGCACACACGGTTACAGCTCCCTTCCCTTGAGGCTCCAATCGTAGTCACTCCACAGAATCCATCTTTGAGCTCCTGCTGTAAGCCCACTGCCCCTGGACATTGTCACTGCCTACAGGTAGGCATGGCTGAGCCCTTTCCCAGGTGAACTCAGCCCAGGGGTTTGCCCAAGTATGGAAGTGGCAGAAGTACAGGGGGTTTAAATCCCCAGCTCTTGTGCACCAGCAGCCCCGTAGCTAACGGTCCACAGTGGCCATGTGCCATTCCTCCTCTCAGCCTGCAGACCCCTCCCAGCAGGTCCTCTTGCTAAGGATTCCCAAGCCCCACGTCCAGCAGGTGGAAAATGCAATCCTGGCCCAGAGTCCAGGGACCACCCTAAGCTCAGGGCACCCGTGCAAACACATCTATCAATTATCTTTTGTCAGTATCAAATATTAAAAGGCAAGGCTAGGGTCTGGCGCAATAGCGTGGTGGCTAAAGTCCTGTCCTTGAACACACCAGGATCCCATAAGGCCACCGGTTCTAGTCCTGGCAGCCCTGCTTCCTGCCCAGCTCCCTGCTTATCACCTGGAAAAGCAGTGAGGATGGACCAAAGCCTTGGGACCCTGCATCAGAATGGGAGACCGAGAAGAGGCTCCTGGCTCCTGCCTTCGGATTGGCTCAGCTCCAGCTGTTGTGGCCAGTTAGAGAGTGAATCAATGGACAGATCTTCCTCTCTGTTTCTCCTGACTTTCCAATAACAACAACAAACTCTTTAAAAACAAAAACAAAAAAATAGGTAGGGCTGACTCTGGGCTGGGCCTGTGGTCCCCAGACACCTATGCTAGCTGGAGGTGGAGTGGGTCCAGCCTGGTCCTGCTTTACCAGTCCACAGCTTTCTCTAACCTGGGGAGGAGCTGGGAGATCAGAGCCAGGGGCTCGGCTCCCGCCTTGTCAACACAGGAAGGCAGCCAGGGCTGCCGCATGCCAGGAGGCCCAGGGATATTTCATTAAGTCAGACCCTGGTGCTGGAAATAAAACCCCCAATTAAACACTTCCCCTCCCGGAAACTGCTGTGGCGCCTGTGATCAAGCTAACACCCGCCCTTCCACGTGGATGCAGGCACTCAGGCCTGTGGAGAGCTGCTCATGAATCCATTAGCTCCTGCTCCCTGGCAACAGGGGAGGCGGCCAGCAGGGCCCGCGGGGGCCCCCATTTCACAGATGCGGATGGTGAGGTTCAGAGAGGCCAGTCACAGCAGCCCCCCTCAAAGGGATGCAGTGGCAGCGGTGGGGTCAAAGTGAGGGCATCAACTCAGGGCCTAGGGAAGGTTGAAGTCCTTCATCTGTGTCCGGCAGGGGGTGGGAAGCTCAAGTTCAAATTCTGGCACTGCCCTCCACATGATCACTTCACCTGTCCAGCTTCCTCACCAGCAAAACAGAAACACGATGAGTTTCCCAAAGCCGAAGTGTGGCAAGCGGCTGCTGCAGAACAGGCCTTCAAATCCTGGTCAGTGTGGGGGCGCCACTGCTCCCCTCCCATCCCAACCCAGGTTTGTTGGGGTGCACTCCTTCTCTGAGATTGGGACCAGGGCAGGTGGCGCCACTGCAGCCAGAACACCTCTGTCCACCCCTGCTCCCTGGCACGGGCCTCAGTCTCCCCTTGGCAACCCTTGCCTGTTGTAAAACCTCCCAGGGAGGTACCTTCCAGAATCTCCAAGACTTGTGACTGATAGGCTATTTTAAAAGTCATTTATGACTCTCGTATAATTAGAGCTAAGCTAACAAACAGGTAGGGAGCAGGAGAGGGTGCAGCTAATGAGGCTGGCATGATTGGTAACGAGCCGATCAGCTGTTTGTGGGTAAACGGGATGGAGGCCAGCAGGCTCTAGGAAGCCATTCCAACCTGGCCACAATCTTGCTTGCCCTAAGTTTTTCGTTCCGTCAGTTTCCACTCTTTCAGACCCATCCTGAGCCCCTAGATTTGCAGCCGGAGAAGGGTCAGGGAATTCAAGGGCATGGCTACCTCCCTGGGTCGTGATGGAGCTTTGAGACCTCAAGCCCCGTTTCTAGGTGCTGCCTGGAAAGCCTCTCTCGGCCCTTTCCTAATCTGCCTGACTGTTCACTTCACCCTCCTCTGGTGCCCCCCACACACACTCCCCTGGACAAAGACTTCTTCCCTAGCACCACTGCCAGGGGGAGTGACACCCCTCACCCTGACACAGACCTAGCTCAGAGGCTGCTTGGTTTTGTTTTAGTTGAACAGCACCAGTGGGCGGCTCAAACCGGACAACAGGGAATGGGGCTTGTCTCCTCTGCTCCCTGCCTTAATCCCTTAATCCCAGCTGGCACAGGAACCCCTGGCCCTGCTCCTGCCCTGCTCCTGTCCCTTGCTTCTCACCTCTAGCAGTGCTAAAGCTTTATAATTGGGGGGGGGGTGCTCTACGTACTGGCTTGGTCCTTTAACCCTGCCCCGCCCCAGCAAGGGCTCCTTGCATTCAATTCCCTCCTTGACCCGGCCTTAAAACCTCCTGGTACATCTCGCCATCCACAACTCTCACTCCAAGTAGCTCCATAATCAACCTCTTCCGGGCCCACAGGTCCCCAGGGGGTGGGGCTCAGAGGGTCCCCTGCCACCAAGAGCTGCAGAGGGGAGTTCCCAGACAGACCAGAGAGAGCATTGATGCTAGGGCAGCCCAGGGCCAGCGTCGGGGTGGGAGGAGGTGAAGAGGTCTCCGCAGGCCCCTGATCCAGGACCAGGGGAGAGGGAAGCAGAGTTGGTGATTCTGAGAGTCAAAAAAAAAAAAAAAAAAAAGAGTAAATGATCATGGTGTGCACGCCTGTGCTAGGGGAGCCTGGCAGGGGGCCTCGCAGAGGCTGTTATCTTCATGGAGAAGGCAATAAAACCGTGTTCGCTCATAAACGGGCACCACCAGGACCTATTTCCTGCTCAAATAAAATTAAAGGTGATGGATGGAGCCACAAGCGACAGGCAGAGCTGGGGGCGGTTCAGTGCTGAGTGATGGGCCCTGGCCTGTTCCTGGCTCCCCGGGGTCTAGAGACCCAGCTGAGTCTGCCCAGGCTATGGGTGCCAAACCAAGAGTCAGGGAAGGCACTGCCAGGGGTCAGGCAAGACACCAGGACAGCTGCTGTTTTGTTTTTTAAAGACCACAAGCCATCCTTACCCCCTACCCCGTCCACCCATACCTGTACCATGTGGCTCTATCCCACTTCCCAAGTGAACAAAGGAAGGCACAGAGAAGCCTGGGCACCTGCTCCTGCCCAAGCAGCCAGGCCAAGCCTTCTACAAGCACAGCCATCAGAAGACAGGGCTCTGTGGACATTGCCACCCTAGGTGTGTGTGCCTGGCCTGCAGAAATCATCCATCCAGGCCACCAATTGGCCTTGAGGCCAGAGCCACGTGCAGGGGCGCGCCCTGGCCAGCAAGGCCTCAAGCAACAGATAAATACACAGCCTTGGAGTCACACTCCCCGACTGATCTCCCCCAAGTCTGTGGCTCACTGGCCGTGTGGATTTGGGAAAGGCCACTCGACATCACAGTGCCTCAGTTGCCCCATTTGAAAATGGGAGAGGCATCCAAGGACTTGCCTCAGAAGTCACGCAAGTGCAGTTCTCTGAGGACAGCATGGATGAGCATGTGGCGACAGCAGCAGGTGCTGAACTATGTTCAAGTATGAAGGCACAGGCCAGCTGTGTCTCCTGCCCCCAGACTCAGCTACTCCCTGGACACCGTGGGAAAAGCATGGACACGGAAGAGGGAGCAGCAGGGAGCCTCTTAGGGGACATCTGTGGGACTTACTGTGGCCTCAGTCCCTTGACCGCAATAAAGCTCCCTGAGGCTCCCTGCCCTGGTCCTCTCCTCCAGGAAGCCCACTGGCCTCATTCTCCCACCTCCCAACCTAACTGGAGTTCTGCTGGACTCAGGCAACCTTTCGAGGCACAGTGATGGGAGCACAGGCTGGGCCCAGACCAGTTCTGCCCTTCATCACATTACTTGGAACAAGTGACTTGAACTTTCCACGGTGGCTGCAACAACACAAGGAATGACAGGCCTGGGCATACAGTAGGTGCTCAGCAAACATAGCTATCATCCCAAGAAGTGTGTTTCCTTCCCCTCATGGCCACAGGGAGTTCCTTGTTGCAAAAGGGTCTGTCTCCTGTTAGCTCCCAGCCGGGCAGCGGAGACATGCCCAGCACTGCAGGTTGGGATGAATGGGTGGGAGTGGCACATCAGTCCCTCCTCCAATGAGGGGTCCCTCAGCAGCCTCTGCAGACCTCTGTAGGGTCCCTATCAGTAACCCTCCCACTGATCCATTCACATCTTTCCCAAGGTAGAGTCCCCCAGCAGGTGGGCAGGGGCTGCTCACTGGTGCCAGGGAATCCCCAAAGCAAGGATGCGGATAGAAAAAGTCCTGCAAAGGAGATGTTTATAACATTATCCATGGTCCATACAAAATTGTCAGCTTAAAAAGGAGCCTGCTATAGATTCAGTCAATTTCAAATTCTACCTGCGGTTGCCTTGGTTAGGGCCTGACTCAGTGATCTTCATGGGCCTTTTAAGACTCATGGGCTGTGTGTTCCCCACCTCTGCCCTAAAGAGTTAGAGGGTAACTATACATCCATAGCTGGGCATTTTCTAAGGTGTAGGGAGGGGGCTGTGTCTCAGCAAATGAGCCTTCTTCCATGGCCTCCTGCACATGGGGGAAGCCAAGAGACTCACCATTGTTGGCCCAGGGCAGGTACCAGGGGCAGCTGACGTTCACGAAGGAGCCGGGGGCCCCATCTGGCCAGCAGGCGTAGTCATCAAAGGTCCTGTTGCAGAACAGACCTGCGGCAAGAGACCAGTCTCCAAGCTCCTGCTTGTGCCTGGCCACTCCCTCACTCCCCTGAGCCCCCATGAGACCTGTCCTCCACTTCCCTCTGCTGGGCGCTTACTGCGGGCCAAGCACCTTCCCCACCATGGGGTCTGGAGTCACCTACTTAGTGTCTGTCTACTTATCCACAAAACGGGGGTACCCCTCTGCCCTGGACTTTGTGGGGATAAAAACAGGGGAGTCACGTAGAGACATGACATTCTAAGTGCTCAGTAAACAACTCCCAAAGGCCTATTTTGATTTTATTTAGGAGACAAAGCTCTCCTACCCTCTAGGTCACTGCCCAAATGCCCGCAACAGCCAGGGTTGAGAGAGGCTGAGCTGGGAATTCAACTGGGGTCTTCCCACACATTTGGCAGGCACATCAAGTTCTTAAACCTCCCAGGGTGTGCATTAGTAGGAAGCTAGGACTGGGACCCAGCTACTCCCACTTGGAATGGGGTGCCCTCATCCCTCCACCAAACATCCATCCCTGCCTATTTTCTCATTACTCATCAGAGGGCAGAAGGCAATGGTAGTCCACAAGGCTGAATAACCCTCCACTTGGCACTGTGCTGCCATGGGCATGGCTGGACAGGAACCCAGGCCCACCTGACTCCTGCCTGTGCTCCTTGAACCTCCCCCAGCCTCCCCAGAACTTTTCTTCCAGCTGGTAGGCCTTCGGCACAGACGTGAAGGGGTTGACCAGGACAAGGCAAGAAAAGGCAGGATTCCTGCTCCCAAAATCAGACTCCAAGCCATGGGGCAGACACAGGGGAACAAGACATGAAAGTACCAACCTCAAGGCCAACAAGCAAGCGAGAGCTGAAATATGGCAGGGATGCCTTGGGAAGGCTTCCTAGATGAGAACCCACTCCCCGCCCCCCCCTCCCCGCCCCGAAACTGAGAATTGGGGCTAGGTAGAGAGAAAGAGGAAGAAAGTCTGGAGGGGAACAGCTTGGACCATGAGCTGGGGGCACAGGGTGGGCGGGGCATTCAGACACCTCCTGAGAAGTGATTGGGCAGCAGGAAGCACTGAGGGCAGAGACCACCCCCACCACACACACACACACACACACACACACACACACACTCACCTGTGGCAAGAGGTGGAGCCTCATTCAGGAAGCGCTGGCACTGGCGGCGGTATTCTCGCCATTTCTGCACCGTCTCTGAGAGGGACACCGAGGCACCCTGGGCAGAGGACAGAGACAGGATCCTATGTGTGCAGCTGGCCGCTCTCCTACACCTGCTTGGGTTTCTTTGTCTCGGGGTGGGGACATGCACTGCCATCTCCAAGAAGAGCAGAGTCACTGCCTTCCCTGGGGCTCCCATTGTGCTCCTTCCCAGGAGACAGGTGCATGACTTGGCGTAGCAGGAAGCCAGCCCATGCTTCCTGCACGGACATTTTTCAGGGTGGACGAATGGGGCTCATTCCTGGCCTCCTGGGATAAGGCCTAGAAGGGAGAATCCCACCGGGGCGCTACAGTCTCGGCAGCCACCTGGGGGCTTCTCACTCTTTTCATCTTTCTAGAAAAGGATACACAGACTGCAGCGGGGCGAGAGGGGGGCGAGGCGAGAGGGGGCCGAGGGGGTCAGGGCACTCAACACCTGGAGGTGGAGCAGGGACCAGCCGAGGACGCCAAGTCTCCTAGACCAGCAAGAACGATGGAGTAGCTGTGTCAGAGTGGCATTGGCGGTAGAGCAGAGTCTACAGCCACACCTCTTCTACAGCAGGCGATCATTTTACCTCGGGGAGCCACATGACCCCCAACTCCAGTGCACACCCCCCCAATACAACACAGGGCCAACATGCAACCCTGCTTCCACCACCCCAGGAGCAGGAGTAGCAAAGGGTGAGGAAGGTTCCAGAACCCTGAAGTCACACCTGTGATGGGAAGGTTGACGGGAATCTCCATCTTCAAATCCAGGAACAGAATTCTTGTCTTATCCCTCAGCCCCTCAGCCCCTCAGCCCCTCAACCCCACAACCCCGCAGCCCCACAACCCCTCCGCAGCCTCCCAGCCCCATGGCCCCTCAGCCTCACAGCCCTGCAGCCCCTCAGCCCCACAACCCCTTAACTTCTTAGCCCCACAGCCCTACAATCCCACAGCCCCGCAGCCCCTTAACCGCACAGCCCCTCCGCAGCCCCGCAGCCCCATCTGCTGACAAGCACCCCCTCGGACTGGTTTTGTGCACTTCCTCCCACCTATCTTGTGCCACTGGTTCTTTTTTATTTAGTTAGTTTTTCCTCCACAGTCTTAAAGATGATAAATATTCCCCTTCTTTATACATCATTTAAAACAAGATTTCACTTTTCAGAAGCACAAAAACACACGCGTGTCTGAGGAAATGAAAAAAAAAATCACGGTTTTGTCAGAAGCGATCATGCTCTTGACTCCCCGGTGTCCCCGAGCACACCGCCGGGTTTGGAGGCTGTCCTGCCCCAGGCAGAGCCGGGCATTAGACACCTCGCCGGCACCTGGACCAGACTGCCTCCTCTGCCCCCCAGCAATAGCCTTGGGAGGAGCCAGGCAGGCTGCAGGCAGGGCTGCCCTGAAAGATGCAGCCCACCTAAGGGAAGAGGTCAACTGCTTTTGTTCAGGACTAGAAAAAGCAGTCAAATTCAGCAGCAGCAGCAAAGGCAGTGTGAGGTGTTAGCGTTTCCCCCCCCCCCCCCCCCCGAGTGATGGCTAACCAGCAGCTGTCATCACAGCAGCGCCTGAGGGGTGCAGCCTACCTGGTCCTTGTCCCTCTTCCTCCAGGTAAAGCTCTCTTCTCTTCCCCTGAAAGCCAGAGAGGGGGACTGGGAGACACCCCCTTGATTCCTGCTCCCCAGAAACAGGGTAACACCGCTGGGAACTGGGGCAGAGGGTGTGCCTGGGATAGGCAATGAGCACCCAACACCCCAGCTGGTCATCTCCTCATAAGACAGGCAGGGTTAGGAGCGGGGGCAGTACCACACAGGTAAGCAAGGCTACCCACCACCACCAGCAACCTTTAACAGATGGCAGACCCCGGCAGAGGGTGGACATGAAGCTGTCCTCAGGCTGGGGCCCCCTGGGGACAGGACTCTCCAAGGACAGGGCTGTGTCTCCCCAGCCATGCCGGAATCTATGAGGACGAGGCCACAGCTCCCCTCCTCTGACTACAAACTCTGAGGCAGGATCCTGGGCTGCAGCCATGGCTGCCAAGGTGCATTCTCTCCTCTGCTGGCTCAGCCTTCCTGTGTACAACACGCAGGACTCAGCTGGGCACTTCTGGACCTGTGATGGTGCCAGGCTGTGGTGGAGGCGTCCTGGCACTTAAAAAATTCCAGGGACCTGGTGGGATCTAAGCCTGCAGCAAAGGTGACAGAGCTGAGAGAGGGGGAAAAAATGCTGGGGCATGGCTGGGCTCAGAGCAGGGGGTCCCATCGTTCTTGCACACTCCAGAATCAACCTAGTAGGAGGAAACTGCTCTGCTTTTCACATCCCAGGACCCAGCATCTTGCCCAGGGGTGCCATCTTCCAGTGACGATGGTAGCCCAGGGCTGGGCAAAGCTGGACAGTGACTTGGGATCCTTTCTCTGTGAGGAGGGACAGGGTGCTGTCCTCAACCCCTCTTCATTTCATCCTCCCTGCCCCAGGTCTGCGAAGGTGGCACTGTGGGTGCTAGGTCAAGAATGGGTAGGGACGACCCAAGGCAGGTGGTTGGAGCAACAGGGGCAATAGGAGGAATTGGAGTGTGAGGGTTTGGTAGGAGTTAGTGGGGGGCAGGCTGATCAGTTTTAGAATCAGGATGTGCCAGGCTACATGGGCTCTCTCAGAGCAGCAGGAGGATGAGCAAGTGGGGACCATGCCCGAGCAGGAGTCAGTGAAGAGGAGGGAGGAACTCCCCAGACTGCAAAGGAGAAGGGAGCAGTGTGGTCTGTGAGAAAGCACTGCACAGAGCCCAAAGCCCCTGGGAACTTAAGTTCCAGCTTTGTGTGTCAGAGTGGAACTGATGGGATGCACTGGATCTTTGGGGGCCTCAGTTGTTCTCTTCTGGGCAACAGGCATATATATCATGAATCTTCAAAAGTTACTGCCCCATTCCAGCCAGATGGTCAGGGACCATGCCATCTCTGGGATGTGCCAGTCCCTGTGCAGGTGAGGCACACAGGAGGAAAAGGAAGATGGGGTGTCAGGGGGTAATGAGCATGCCAACACCCTGAGGAGGTGCCACCTCTCCCCTAAGCCTGGCTGCCACCTGGACAGGTCCCTCCTGCCGCTCAGTGTGAGTGCAGGCAGCAGTCTGCTCTCTCCCGGGAAGCGTCTGGGTTGAGGGGAAAGATGGAAGAGACCTTAGTTTCTCTGGGCCACGGAGAAGGGAAAAATGGGGAGGCCTCTCCCGTAGAGTTCCCAGCTAGAGCCAGCCCTTAAGGGATCCCCATACCCAAGACCCCAACCCTTCCGCCACCCCCTGCCAGAGTACAGATCATGGCCCCTCACTGTGCCCTCATGGTGGCCAGGCCCCTGTCTCTCTGACCCTATTCTTGCTTTCTTCAGGTCTGTGTGCACATTTTCACAGCACTGTCACATGACTACATTATCCTACATGTTATCACGCATGTCCCGAGGGTGGTACCTACACCCACATCCGGGCAGTCCCCCTCCCACGCATAGTCACACATAGACTGCAGGCACACATGTACCTGCTCCCAATCCACATAACCCCCTTGAATGGTACACCTAGCACACACTGTGGTCCCTCACACACCTGTCACACCTACAGGCACATACCAACGGGCAGGCCCCATTCACATAGCAGGCTATCACACGCACAGATGCAATGGCACACACAGGTGTTGCTCCTGGGACTCCTGTAGAAGCAGATGACCTCCTGGGAAGAGATGGGGGCCCAGGCAGTCTACACCCTTCTCCTCTTGCTCTGTCTCTCCTTGGCCCTCTCTGTGTCTCTCTGTCTCTCTGTCTCTCTCTCTCTCTCTCTCTCACACACACACAGGAATTTGCCCAGGGGCAGAATGAAACTAAGGAACTCCAGTTACCCACTGCAGGGCAGTAGGGGGGAGGCACGATGTGGGGGTTTGATTGCTTCTGCCTCTTCCCCTCCAACTCCTATGTCTGGGTGTGTGTTCAAGACACAGCCAAGCTCAGGAAAACTTTCACGCTAACCAAGGGCAGCCCTGGATGCCCAGCCCCATTCTGACCCTTCCCAGGGGACAGAATCCCTCTCCACAGCTTCCCTGCAGCCTGGGCACACTCTTAGAGGCCCCAGAATAAAAGGGGCCCTCCCATCCCCCCAGCCCCAATCGCCTGGCAGTCAGGTGCCACTCTCATCCTTCCCCTAGTCCTGTGTGATAGAATTTGTGAACCCTATTTACAAAGAGGACACAGAGGTTCCGAATGGTCACGGGTCTAGTGGAGACCCTCAGCCAAAAGCAGATCTCATAGCTGAACCTAGTTTCATCCAGTGCTTACTTTGGAGTTTGAAGCCTAGCCTGGTTCCCTCCTAGTAGCCCTGGGAGATGAGGATCAGAGGCCGGAGCGGTTCTGCCTAACATCTGGGTCACCTTTGGCACAAGTCAATTGGGTGACCTCCACAAGTCCTCCTACACACATACCTGAAGGGAAGCCACCTCCAGCCTCACCAGACCCAACAGGGAAGCACCCGGAGGGTGCGAGGACACACTACCTCACGCTCTCTCTTCCTCCCTGTGCTGAAATGCTGGGCCCCCTCCACACCCAGCCCTCTTCCTCTGAGCTTCCATCCCCTCCGCAACCATAATGGGAGGAGTCATGCTAGTCTTGCTGACCTCCTAGACAGAAAACGAAACGCAAACTTGGCTGCTGTTTGTCCAAGTCTGATGCTCACGCAGGAGGTTTTGTCATCAGGATTGCTAGACCTCTGCGGTGGCTGGGGACACTGAGCACTCATAACCACAGCACCCCAGCAATGCTCCATTCCACTTTCTGCTCAGCACCCATCACCTCTTGTCCTTCTGGGGCACCCCAGTCCCAGTAGGGCCAAGGAAAGAGAATGGGGGAACCAGAGGAAAAGGCAGGATCAAGGAGCCTAACACCCCTGCAGCAAAGGGTTGGGGAGAGAAGACAAGCAGAGAGCAGAAAAGCCTCCTTCTTCCCCTTGGCTGTCTTCCCATGTAATCTGAACCAGGTCTGCAAACTTGGTCTGCAGTAGGAAGGGACCCAGAAACTGCCCTCCAGTCCCTAGCCCCTGCAGAAGAGAGAGAAGTGCCCAGCAGTGTAGCTCCTGCCTCCCCGTTCCCTTCCCCCAGCCCTTCGAGCCCAACCACACAGGGACAACCGCAGACCTGATCCAGACTGGATCGGGAAGTCTTGGAGAAGGGAGCCAAGGTACCAGGAAGGGGGTCTCTGGGGACCCAGGGATGAAGACTAGGAAATGAGACTGGGAAAAGAAAATCAGGGCTGGAAATGAGTGGGCATAGTTGCCTTGGAGAGGCGCCTCTGTCCACCCCAGGGTCCTCCGGCAGCAGGAGAATCTGCCTGTCTCCTCTAGACAATGTCCCTCACCCTTCCTTTCACTAATTCTGTGGCAGATTTCCCATTCCGCACAAGCTCCAGTTCCTTAGGTCCAGGAGTCGGAGGGAAAGGTGACAGGGAGAGACCGTTCCAAGGGGCACAGGACAGGCCACTCCAGCCTGTACCTCCTCTCTGCTCAGTATGTCCCAGCATCTTTGGACATCTGCCCTCTCCAAGAGCAGCTGACCACAATCCTCCTCCTCCCACCCCTCAAGCCCTGGCATCTGGAGCAGGACTGGCAGGGCCAGCAGCTGCAGCGACCACCGGGTGGCAGGTTCTGGAGCCCATGGAGCCAGGGTGTTCCTATGTCCCAGCAGGAGTTCTGGCATGTGTTGTCCTTTGGGAGTCCGGGTGGGAAGGAGGGAAGCAGTAGGCTCAGGTTGTGATGGGAACCCAGATGCTTCCTCACCCAACACTGCCCAGCAGCGGGCCTCCTGCGTGTTTGCCGCAGGGGCTGGGGCGGGGGTGGATGGGGACTCAAGTTCCATCTGGGAGGTCACAGGGAAGGACATCAAGCTGCCACCGCAAAGGGCCCTCGGGGCTATGAGTCAAACGCAGCGCTGATGCTGGTGGTGAGGATGCTACTGAGGGGGAGAGGAGCTGGGTCTCCCTGCACAGCCAGGCAGCGGCCCTGGGTTCTGACCCAGCTGGTGAGCAGAGGACGGGTCCCGCGGGACAGGGGTCTGACATTTGCGGGGCCAGGAGGGAGACTCGGTCCCGGGGCCGTGTCAGGGCCGCAGGCGCGGCTCAGGAGGCTCAGGAGTTGGGAAAGTGGTTTAAGGAGGACGGAGATGCGGCGCTGAAGTCTGCGCAGGGCGGCGCGGAGAGCAGCAGCTGGTGCCTTAGCGGAGCAGCCCTGGTTCGAAGGAGTCGTCGCCGTTCAAGTGCCCACCTTGACCACCCAGCTTCCTCAATCCCTATCCGCCTCCCAGGCTCTCCCTTGGCTGCGCCTGCAGTCGCGGAGTTTCGCTCAAGTCCGGGCGGTCGCAGCCAGGACACTGCGCCTGCAGCCCGCAGCACCCCCTCCCCTCTGCCGCCAGGGTCCCCGGGTCTCACCTGGGGTCGGGGGCCGGCCCTGCCCACGGCCCCGAGCAGCAGGAGCGCAAGGCGCAGCGGGCTGGGGGCGCCGGCCATGGCGGGGCGCTCAGGACTGGGCCATCGCTGCCACCTGCGGAACCGCGCGCGGCGACTGAGCCCGGGCGGGCGGCGGGGGAGGAGCCGGCGTGGGGCCGCCCTGCCCGCGGGAGCCCGGGAAAGGGGGTGGGGGAGGGCGGGCAAGGTCCCCGATCTCCCGCCCCGGCGGCCGGCTTGGGGCGCTGGATCAGCCGCACTGTGCCTCTGGGCAAGTCCTGGGTGGGGAAGTACTGGGCTCTGCGCTCCGGGCGAGCGTCCCTCGGGCTTCTGAAGCTCGGGAGTACCACCACCAGCTCCAAGCGCTCTCTGCGCACTCCGCCGGCGCCAAGCTGGTCCTGCTTCCCACCCTCACACCCAGTCCCTCCTCGTTGGCGCTCCAGACTAAGCCAAGCCAAGTCAAGCCACTCCTAGCTTGCTCAGGGTGTCCCGAAGGAAACTGAAGCCCGGAGTGGATGGGACTTGTCCAAGGTCATGGCGTTTCCCGAGCCCTGTGAGCAAGCAGGTGTACCCAGCAGGGTGACTGGCATCCCATGTCCATGCCCTCCGTTCCAGGCTCTGTCTGAAGGCTGATCCGGGACAGCCAAGGTTGGCAGATGGGTCAACAGTGAGTTCTGATAGGTGGGGGAGGTCCAAGGATTCCCTCCAGTGGGAACTTTGGGAAAATATAGGACAGGGAAAGTTGAAGTGGGGCTCTGCCTCACTCAGGCTTCCCATACAGCCCCAGTCTCCTTCCAGCTCTTACAACCCCCCGTGCAGGATTGGTGATGACACTGTGCCCGCCCAGGACTATTCCCCCAGGAGTCTCCCGGGTTTTGTGGGCAGGTGCACTTGCCATAGTTTTCTCTCACAGCCCTAAAGCCAGGCTCCCTTGCTGCAGCCCGTGCTGAGGAAGGGAAGGCTAAGAGGGCTTGAATTGGGCATGGGAAGATAGACTCTCTCCACCCAAGAAACTCAGTGCCACAGTTCTGGTGGTGCCTAGCCCCGGACATGCCATTGGGGCATGTCTGGATCACCTCCCCAGAAGGACAGGGGAATTGCAGAAGTAGGGGGCGGAGTCCCAGGCTCCCACTCCAACCCCCACCCCCCACCCCAGAGGCATTTGTTTCCTGCACACTACTCTCCTGCTGTGTGTCACGAGGACTAGACTGTAAAGGAGTGACAGAAAGCACCACTCTGAATCACCTTGGCAGAGCCAAGTGCTGTCTCAGGCAGGGCAAAACCCAGGTCCAGTCTAGCTTCCACTGTCCTCCAGAGCAAGGCTTTCACCTCATGCTCCTAAGTGGCTGCTCCAGCTCCAGCCATGATAGTCACCTTTCAGCCAGCAGCACAGAAGAAAGAGAAGACCGGTGCATCTCCATCCCAAAGGGTGACCCTTGGAAGAAACAGCTGTCCATTCCGCACTTGTTGATCAGAGCTTCACCATATAGGCACTCTTAGCTGCACGGGAGGCTGGGAAACTTTATGTCAGAGAGGAATGGGCACAGTTAAATATGGGGACTACAAATTTGCTACCAGAGGAGCACCACCCAAGCATATAGATGGCAGAAAACAACTTGAAGGCTCTGCCACATTAGGGTGGAGATGAACAAAACAGAGAGGAAGAGCAGGTGGATGTGAACTGGAGCCCTGGCGGAGAATGTGCCAGCGCCCGATTTCTGTGCATTTAATCAGCATCAGTTGAACACACATGCCATGCACGAGCAGTGAGCTAAATCCTGGGGAGATTTCAGTGATACCATCTCCTCCTATCCTCAGAGAGATTCTATCCCAGTGCAGGAGGAGACATTATAGAATGTATTTATGTTGCGGTTGTGATAAGCACGGTTGGGAGAAGATGCTCTGGAGTTCCTCCTTCAGCATTTAAATGGCTTCCTCACTGTCAGGGCTGGTGGGGGGAGCTGGGGTTGGGGGAGCTTCATCTGACTGGAAGGGGCTTCAGCCCGTATGGAACAGGCACTTCTAGGGGCAGCTGTTACCCACAGAGGGAACAGGAGATGGGTAAATATCCCAGTCCTGGCAACCCTTAGATCAGACTGCTTGCATGTGGATCCAGGCTCCCAGAGAGCCCCAGCTTCACACAACACCGCCCACTGTCCCATCACTGTATCATCAGCCACCCAGCGTTGGCTTCTTTGGAGTCCATCTCATTTTCCAGCAGAGGGGGCTAGTTCCTGCAGTCACCTCTCAAATGAAAGGAAGAACCATTTGTGCCTCAGTCCTCAACTCAGGATCGGCTTCTAGAGAGTCCAGCTGGAGATAATGGGTAGGGGAGAAAATCTGGGGACTGGGGGCCCATCCCCTTCTTTCTTTCTCTCCCTTTTTGTTTTTAAAGGTGCTATTACTTGAAAAGCAGAGTAACAGAGGGAGAGTTTTCATTAGCTGGTTCACTCCCCAGATGGCCACAACAGCCAGTTCTGAGCCTAAGTGAAGCTAGGAGTTCCCTTCAGGTCTCCTGCACAGATGGCAGGGGCCTGACTTGAGTCATTCTGTGCTGCCTTTCCACGCACATTAGAGGGAGTTGAACCAAAAGGGCAGCAGCCTAAACTCCGATCAGCACTGCGTTAAGGAATGCTGGCATTGCAAGTGGTAGCTTAACGTGCTAGGCCATAATACCAGCTCCCCCGCCCCCATCACCCCCAAGTCTCTCCTTTTTAACATCCAGGGGCCTAAGAGCTTTTGAGTTCATTGTTGTCCCACCCTGCTTTTACTAAAGATGTATTTATTTGAAAGGCAGAGTGACACATATCCACAGAGTGGAGCCTTTAGTTTATCTCGCAAATGGCCACAGCCTAGTCTGGGCCAGGCTGTAGCCAGGAGCCAAGAACTCCATCCAGGTTTCCCACATGGGTACAGAGGGTGCAAGTACCTGGGTCATCTTCCACTGCTTTCCCAGGCACATTAACAGGGAGCTGGGTGGGTCCCACAGCCCCCCTGGCTGGTGCTTGGTACACACATACACAACACACCAGAACATTTACTACGCTCTCTCCCTGTCCTTTTATTGCTTTTCTCTCTTGGTGAGTGCCTCCAGGGAAAGGTCGTTTCCTGGTATGGTAGCTCTCAATACCCTGGCACACTAATTAAGTGTTCAATAAATATTTGCTGGGGGCCAGCATTGCAGCACAGCAGGTAAAGCTGTGGCCTGTGATGCTGGCATCCCATATGGGTGCCGGTTTGAGTTCTGGCTGCTCTGCTTCTGATCCAGCTCCCTGTTAATGCCTGGGACAGAAATAGAGGAGGGCCCAATTGCCTGTGCCCGTGTATCCAGGTGGGAGACTGGGATAAGCTTCTGGTCTTGGCTTCAGTCTGGCCCAGCCACAACCGTTATAGTCATTCGGTATGTGAATTAACAGATGGAAGATCTCTCTCTCTCCTCTCTCTCTTTCTCTCTCTTACATTCCCTCTCTCTAACTGCACCTTTCAAATAAATTAAGTAAATTATTTTTAAAGCATTTGCTGCAAATGAAATGTATCAGTGCAAATGTCCTTTGATGTGCCTGACACATAGTCGGTGCTCAGACACTGAAGCAGCAGGTGTTTTGTGCAAAGATTGACACACAGCACGGAACACCTAAATCCACCACCTAAGTGCTTGGGTTAGACTCTCAGCTCTGCTTCCAAACCAGCTTCTTTCTAATGCGTGCCCTGAGACGCAGCAGGTAATGCCTCAAGGACTTAGTCCCTGCCACCCCCGTCGGGGAGTTAGACTGAGTTCTGGACTCCTGGCTGATTCAGCCTGGCTGTTGGCGTTTATAGAATGAACAAGTGGATGCAAAATCCGTGTGTGTGTGTGTGTGTATTTCAAATAAACATTTTGCAGTGAAGACTCCCAAAAAAGAACCTCACTAATTCACTCCTCAGTCCTCCTCTTCATGGATGCTCTCATGCTTCTAAGTTAACTCTAAAAAAGAAAGAAGCTGAAGGATGGGCTAAAAGGATGGATAAATGTATGGAATGGGAGATCAGGCTCCTCCATTTCCCTTGCTTAGGTCTCAGACCACAGTCTGGGTGTTTGGAACTCCATGTGCTGAACAGGCAAGCATTAGCCACAAATGTGGAGACATGATCCAGGACTCAATGAGTTTCCACACTGGCCTTGCTGAGCACTGGCTGGGTCCTGATCTTGGCATTTACAGGGCCAGAGTCCCTAGGGCTGTCTTAGAGCTGGAGAGATGGAGTCTTGGGAATGACAAGACCATAGGTTGCAACAGGAAGCCTGGCATCCAGGCTTCCTCCGGAACAGCAGTGGATGTTGCTAATAGGCAGCCACACCTGCTTGGGGCTACCTCCACTGCAGTGCCTGCCTCCACAGCAGCCCTCAGCACTGGTCCTGCTCCCCAGCCTCACACCCAGGGCTTCTCCGGTGGCCCTCTCCTAGGCACTGCATGTGTGTCATCTCATTTGATGGTCATCCTCGCCTTGGCCCATGCCAGCTACAGTCAGAATATCTGCCACTGGGAGAAGTCCATAGTGCCGCAATGGGCCCAGGGATCCATCTTTCCACCTTCTGCCAGGAACACCTCCATGCCAAAGGCTCCTGGGGCGAAGGACTGTGTCAGGGGAGGGGTAGGTACGGGTTTCCACCTTGGCTTCCTGCTGTTCTTCCCAGGTCCCGCCCTGGTGCCCAGCCTCAAGCTTCCAGGGTTTGTGCAGTGGGGTCAGCTTTATCCTAACTATACAAATAAGGATGCTGACATGCAGAAACGTTAAGTAGCTTGTTCAAGTTGGCTTTGACTAGACAAGGAGGCTGGAAGAAACTCCACCCAGATCAGAACCCCACTTACAACACTCCACGACCCACACTCAGCACCAGCACTTGCTCAGGACCTGGCATGAAGCTGTCCTTTGCCATGGCAGCATTCTTGGCAAGCACTGTTATCCCCGATTCCCCCTACCAGAGAGTACGCCCATGGCACCAGGTCTTAGCAAGGTGACAGGTACAGCTGCTGCTGTGCAGGATCCTGGCACCATGGTCCCTCTAGGTCCAGAGTCTCTGGATCTAGGGCCCAAAGAAGGCTGTCAGGGGCTCAGCATGG